GTAAATTCGAAAATATTTGGCGGGCCATTAAGACAATTACGGCCATTGGCCGTTAAGACAATAAAATATACAAAATTTAGTATTTTTTCAACTGGACAATTTTTAATTATAGTATGATAAAATTTATTTTTTTGTAAAAATGTAAAGTATCTCTGTAAATTCAAGATGGCGGCTGATCTGCCATCGCGGGCCGCATTGCTAGGGTTTCTAGCACTTTGGGAACCCCTGCTTTAGGCAATATTATCTGCCGTATGGACGTTACTTTGTATCGGTACTGCGAATCGCCACTTGAGAACCACGTGATACAGTTTTGTTTGTATACAGATCTCGAGCATTTGAATTTTTCTTGCTGTGTTTTTGCTACTTACAACGCATAGTAAATGACTTGAAGTCGAAAAAAGGTAGCAGTCTTTGTCGTTACTTCTTGGCCGTATTTTTTACAACTACTCGAGCTAAGTTTAACCGTTTAATCGTTAATTAAAAATGATCCAGCGTGGAAACTTTGATATTCTGATTTTATTTCTGCAGAAGAATAAAGAACCATAATTTTTCGTATTGTGGCTCTAATAACTTGAACACCCGCTGTATCCAAAGAAGTACACACTACTCTCAAGATCGATGGAATACAGGATTACGCTGGACGATCGTAAATGAGGATCGATTACGGTAATTGCTGTAACACGCGAATGACCACCGTCGCGGTAAAAGTAATCAGGCCAAAGCTTATCTAACTGAAACTTTTCCGAAGGACACGATAAACACGGACGGGCAATAAAATTAATTTTAAAACCAGCCTTTATGTCACGACATTCCGGAATACCATCGTTGGATCGATGCACACGCCGATTCTTGCCGTGTATCGTTTCTGGACACATATATGTATTGTATATATGTACCCGGTGTTGTTTTTCTCATCGTTGTCGGCATTGCGTAAACGATTTATGAATAATTCGAAGAAAAAATAAGTCGTCGAGAGTCGTTTTCAAAAGGGACAATAAATGTTAAGGTGAACCAAAAAAATGTGTTCTTTGGAACGTTTAACTCTTTGCGGTCGAACTTCGGGATATTCCCGGCGTTTTTACCTTCTAAACGCTCTGTGGACGCCCTTTGCCTGCAGAAACGGGGGAAAAATAATAATAATACGCACACAGCTTGAACGAACTGGTTCGAATAAAATTTATACGCTTTTTGGGCAATAATTGACCGAGTGCGCGTTACCAAAAAATAATTCCGACTAACGTGCCTACGGGAAATACGACCGCAAAGAGTTAAACCTGTTCTGCCACGTGAATCGCTATTCGTGACTCACTATGATGATTGCTAACAGAGCACTTTCGTTAGAAGACTCTTTTCATAAGAATTTCTCAATGTTGAAAGAAAGACAAGAGGTACAATTCGTTCTGAGTAACAATTTCGTTGTCCGGTGTTAGTTGGAACGTTTCGTCGATCCATCGGAAATACAAGTACAGTTGACAGAAGCGATATGGTAAAATTAGTCAGACGTCAAAGTACACGTAATCCGAGAGTTGAAACAGCAACTTGAGGAAGATAAGGAGCTCGAGCACTCGTTCTGAACAGTTCAATGTCAACTCTGGAATTGGTTGCTCCATTGTAGAGTATTTTAAAAATTCCCGCCTTGATTCTTGAAGCCTGCAACGTTCATTTTGACGAGATACAGCGATTGTTTGGGGAGAGAACGACGGTAAGTTAATACGAGGTTTTACTGTATCGATTCCATCGACTGTACGTTCGTTAAAAATGAGCGAAGGAAAGAAAGTCTACCTCCGAACGTGTAATCTAACAGACTGCGACAAAGTTGACCATCTGGACGAGACACGAATGCAGTAGAATGCGATTATGGACGATTCCAGCTTCCATTGCGGTGTATTTCAAAAAATTGCGCATTAATCCTTGAAACTCGTAGATTAATCTTTATCAATGCGACAATTGTTATCGAGCGAAAGGCGACGGGGGCATAACCCTTTCGCTGCGGCAGATTTTAGTGAGTAACGCGTGTGACACGCGGTAGATGTTCAACCGTGGCCGAAAAATCTTTCGTATCATTTTAAAGTTTTTTTTAGTAAATTAAGGTGGAAATGTTTAAAAGATAAAATTAGGGTGGAAGTGCGTCTCGGTTTTTATTGAATATTAGCTACGCGCAAAGCTGATATTTCCCTTATTTTTCCACTATTTTCGCCGTATTAGGCACCAATCGAGCCTTTGTACGGTGAAATATAGCGAAAACAAAATGTAGCGAAAATTTGTCCCGCATTTTTGTCTTTCAATTATTTGTCCCGCACCTCAAAATGAAAAAATTCTCGAAAAAAGCTGCCGCAATGAAAGGGTTAATCGGTGATTCACCGTATCAATTCCAGCAATGTGATTACGAATGACAAGCTTCCATCGCAATATATTCAAAAAATTTGCTCCTTAATCCCTGAAGGAGGTGCAAGTTCATTTTCATCGATACGACAATTATTATCGAGCAAAAAGCGACGAGGGCTTAATCCGTTAAAAACGAGGAAAAAGAAGCTCTACTCGAAGTCAGTGTGTAATTTGTCAGACGGCAACAAAAGTGACCATCTGAACGAGACACGAATACAGCAATGCGCGATTGTGGATGGTGCCAGGATCAGTCTCGAGGCGGACACTCATCGAAAGCGACGTCAAGGAACTTTCGTCACTGGACGACGCCGCTCAATCGATAGCGCTTTTTGCATGCGTATCGGCCAGCTGGCCGGCCTGAGGAAAGCGTGAATGCACACACTGTTGCATAAGTGTATCCGGTGCGCGAAGAGCCGGCGACCTTGGAATATCAAATGCTGGAAACGTACAATGAGCGCGTAAACGCACGACGATTCGAGTGCCGTTCTTCCTCGGGGGAAAATTATCCGCCAAGGGGCAAGGTTATACAGACCAGGAAGGAGGCTAAGGAGGTTAACTGGAGTACCAGAGGAGATTCGAGAAAATTTCGATCGCGCAAAACCATAGACTAACAGAGCGACGAGCAACCCAATTTATTTATTCTTGCTGCCTCGGCCAAGTGGTTTGTGCGCTACGCGCGCTTCAATCGGCTAACGTGAACAATTTTTAACTTCAACGGGATACATGATTCTGTGGAATAATTTTCGAAGTAAACGTAAAGTTTCGGTATAAATAGTATGATGGAAGTAATAGTGTCAGCAGTTGCGGCTCATAAATTTTTAGAAAATATAATCAAATAAGATAAAAATGTATCCGTTGTTATTTATGTTGAAAATTAAAATTCTGCCTTATAAATTGACAATTTTTAAATTAGTAAATTAGTTTTCTTGGAGGTTGCAGTTTGACTTCGTGTTGAGAGTTTGAATTCGTCCGCGTATACTTGTTTTTTTTTATACAGATAGAAGTCTATGTTTGAATTGTTATGAAAATAACAATGTATTCATTGCTATCTAGGTTGAAAATAAAAAATTCCACCCTATAATTTAACAATTTTTAAATTAAGAAGTTGGATTTTTTGGAGGTTAGAATTCACTGCTGGACCACGTGTAACTCGGGACAATTTGAAATAGCCCACATACGCATATTTTTTTAATACAGATAGAAGTCTATCTTTAAATTGTTATGAAAATAACAATGTATTCGTTGTTATCTATATTGAAAATATAAAATTCAAACAGTTTTTAAATT